TATTCACATGGACATGGTGGCATATTCTGCAGGCAATGGCAATTGCCTGTAATGGGTGGCAGTCCAGGTGTCATGTCACTGGTGTTTTACTTAAATATGAAGGTGCAATCCTACTAGCTTGATGCCCATTTGCTATTTGCTCTTCCCCATTAAAGCAACATAATTACCTTTCCCCCATTAAATGTCATGAACAAAAATCATCAAGGGATACCCATGAAATGGTGGTTTAATTGATAATGAGTGTTTGGTTTTTTGAGAGAATAATGAAGAACTCATTTTTGTTTATATATTTTTTTAAATTTTTTTATAACTCATAAGAGTAAATAATATGTTTTTTTACCAAATCAAGAAAAAGTTAATTTTAAAATACATAATTTAAGCGTAAAAATGCCATGATTAGATTAAAAAAATTTAATTTTAAAATACACAATTTAAGTGTAAAAATACCTTGACCATTAAAAAAAAATCATAAAATATATGTTAAAGATAATGCACTCATGTAGTAAACAAAATGGGACCTGTTTGATGGAGTTTTTTTTTTGAGTTTTTATTTTTTTAGTATTGTTTATGAATCATAAGTTTATAAAAAAATTGAAAAATTATTTTTAAAAATAATAAGTAGTGAATAAGAAAGAAATTTATAAAAAAATAAAAGTTCAAAACTTTTCAAAATTTACTATTTAAAATTTACTATTTAAGGTCTTTTTAAAGTTAAAAAGAAGTTAAAAAATATAAGTTTTTAAAAAGAAAAGTTAAACTTATGAAACATGAATAGTATCAAAAAATTGAAGTACTTATAAGTTTCACTAAACATACTTATGGTAATAATGGATGAAGAATTTTACTCAAAGCAAATTTTCATATCATTAAAGAACGTAATTAAAAATAAAAACCATAATTTTGTTTAAACTTCAGCACAATTTATAATAAGCACTTTAAAAAAAAAAATTCAGGTTTTGCTAAGTAAATTGGATTAGTTGGGCATGATTATTCCACACAACAAATTATTATTTATTATTGCCACACAAATATAAACATCAAGTATAATTCTTCCAATAATTGATTATTTTTGGCGTCTACAGAAAGATAAAATCATTGGAAGCACAAGTCATGGTTTTTTTTTATTTTTTTTATTTTTTAAGTTCAGATAAATGTATGAATTTTTTTATTTTTTATTAAAAAATAAATTTTTTGAGTTTTAAAATTAAGAGATAAAATTTTATTTTTTTTTCAAATAAGAATATAAATTTTGTATTTTTTTTATTTGAGAATTTATTGAATGATGATAATAATATAGCAAATAACAATCATAATCAAAATAGAGTAAAATTCATATCCTAAAATAAAAAAAAATAACAAAGTTTAAATCTTAAAACAAATAAATTAATATATAAATAAAAAGAGTTTACTTCATGATTTAAAAATTCAAAAACTTCATATTTTTAAATAAAAAATGAGAAAATTCAAGTCCTCCTAAGAATCTTTTCTTGTTCTTTGTAATCTACAATTGTGAGCATCCACGGTTGCTCCCACCCAAATAATTGTTGGAACCACGCACACAAACACTATAAATATGATTGGTTTAACTTATACTAATAATTGATAATTGTAATTTTTAATCGATAAAATAAATGATATTTATTAACTAACAGTTTAGAATTAATGTATGAATTGATGTTTTCATATACTTTAATCAAATATATAAATTGATAAAATCAGGTAAATCAAATATTACTATAGCATTTTATACGATCTTAACAATTATTAGTATGATCATAACCATCACAAAAAATGTACTCTTTTTTTTCTTTTTGAAGTCTAAACAACTTAATTTCTCAATAACCATTTCCGCTTATTTTTCATACAATCATCTGCATTAGGTAATTAACCAAACATGCCAACTGCGTGTAAGAACTGATATTATTAGTAAATGAGACGTTAGTTGAGGAGATCATATGGTCCAGATTTGGACGTTAATGTTATAGGTGCAGAAAATGAAACCTTAGAATTAATTAAATATCCTCTGCAAATTAACGGTCACTTTCGTAGGTGGGGCACATGATTAAGACACTAATTAATAACAAATTAAAGTATGCAATTTTATTTGAATTATCTAAAAGATAATATTATTTTGTAACCTATCTTGTACGGATTATACATATTATAATTATTGATAAATGTAAGGCCACCTAACTTAACATCAAGAGATTTATCCCTCATCAATGGTTACAAGATAGATTATGCATCAATTTTTAATACATGAGACATTAGGCTAAGGTTATTATCATCATTAAATTTATTAAACTCACCAATTTAACTATAAGTTTATCAAAGGAAAAAGAAAAATTAAGATGTTTTATTATTAAAAATATAAGGATATCAAATCATAACTATTAAATATGTAAGAAATAATATGAACTCTAATTTTATCATATTCATCATGTAACTATTATTAGGTCTCTTGATTTTTCTTTTTTATCAATTTATAATTAGTTGTTTTTAATAGTTAAATTAAAATAAAAATTTAATAATTTTTAGTAATTTTTAAAATTTTAATAGTGCCCAGATAATGCCACCTGTCTTTTCGAGTCAACTGATAATATGTCAATTTTTGAGATGCATTCCCCCTCTCCATGGACAGGCTCCAAACCTGCTCTTGATAACTTGTTAAAAAAAAATAAATAAATACTGCCTAGATAATGGGACAAATTTTATTTTTTTAGGAATTGACTTGGTCTACAATTGGTGAAAATGAGAAAGAATCATGTGGGGATGAATCA